CGAATGTTGGGCCTCTTGAAGCTGTCCCAGAGACTCCTTACAGTATCTTCATATTACTGGATTCTTTTTTCTTTTTGCTCTTTTGGTTGGGTGCTTTTTGTTTCCTCATGTTCCAAATTGCTGCTTTGATTCTCAGCGTCATCTACTCTACTGTTGATTCCCTGTAAATTATTCTTCATTTCAGTTTCTGTATACTTCATTTCAAATTGGTACTTTATTATGTTATTGATTTTCTCAGTTATCTCCCTAATAGTCTGCTTAAACATCCTTATAACCAAAATTCTGAACTCTGTATCTGTTAGCTTGCTTGGATCTATTTCATTTAGTTCCTCTTCTAGAGATTTCTTCTGTTCTTTCCTTTGTGACATGTTTCTTTGCCTCTGCATTTTGGCTGCTTCCAGGTGTTTGTTTCTATGTATTAGGTAGAGCTGCTGTGTCTCCTGGAATTGGTAGATTGGCTTTGTGTAGTAGGTGTCCTGTAGGGTCCAGTGGCTCAGCCTCCCCAGTCACCTGAGCTGGGCCTTCTAGGTGCTCCCCTATGTTATACCACAATTTTTTAATCCATTCATCTTTTGATGAGCATTTGGGCTGTTTCCACCCTAAGGCTACTGTGAACAGTGCAGCTTCGAACGTGTGTATATCTGTATTTGTTTGAGTGGCTGCTTTGAAGCATTTTGCGTTCCCACCAGTAATGTACTAGGTTCCAATTTTCCACATCCTTGACAACATGTTATTTTGTGTGTGTGGCTTTTTTAAAATTTTAGTCACCCTAGTGGGTGTGAGGTGGGATCTCGCTGTAGTTCTAATTTGCATTTGCCAAATGGCCAATGATGCTTAGCATCTTTTCATATGCTTGTTGTATTTACTTTTAAAAACTGTCAACATTAAAATTTTTAAATTTTATAACAATCTTGTTTATAGAAAGGTTGCAAGTAGAGTATAAACTTCTTCCTGACCTGAATCCCTTGACCCCTACCCCTGGGTACCTGTAAGTCCTGCAAACGAGGACATTCTCTTTCAAACCACAACACCACCATCAAAGTCAGGGAGTTAACGCTGTTAGTGACCACCACCTACTCCCCAGACTCCAGTCAAGTTACCAGTAATGTCCTTTATCGCAAAAGGATCCAACTCAGAACACGTCACACGTGGTTAGAATGCCCCTCAGTTGGGCTTGTTTATGTTTCTCCGGGAAATTCAGGTATTTTCTTGGGAAGGGAGACTATGAACACACACTGCATTCTTCTTTCACAGCAGGTGGCTCAGGGCTTCAGTCTGTCCCACTGCCGCTGTTTATTTTCACCCCTTCATGAAGGTGGTTTCCCCACTCTAAAGTTATGCTTTTTCTGTTTGTAATTGTGGGGAGATACTTTGAAACTATGTAAAATTGTTCCTCAAACTTTCAATGTACATTGATTG